GAACCTTCCGGTTTCCAGCCTTCGCCATGTTCGGGATCATGTTGGACCATCTGCACGTGGCCCTTGACCCACTCTTCATCACCTGGAAAAGCATCACTCACAGACAAGTCATCTCCACCGGCTCTCCAGTCTCAACATCCACCAAGTCCACATCGGAACTGATATCATAGTGTTCACACTCAACACTGACATGGTAACACCACCACGACTCCCAGGAATCCCAATCCTCATCGGCGAACTCTTCGAAATTCTCAACACCTTCCAAAGGGAACTGAAGTGCATCTACGTCATCTGCCAGGTTGAAGACACGTTTCACCGTCGCAGTTGCCGTGGACTGAGACGACACACTCGGTGTGCCTGCATGGGAACTCGCGGAAGGGGCTCCAATCTGGGGACCAGGTCCAGGGTTGTTCACCTGATTCACCTTTTTCATCCAACACTCATTGCTCCAATGACCTGGTTTCCCGCAAATCTTGCAATTGTTGTACGGGACCGAGTTCTTGCCCTTGCCTTTGCCCTTCATGTTATCGTTGTGGAAACCTTTGGACTTCCCTTTGCCATCTTTACCACCCTTTGGGGAACCTTTAGACTTGCCGAACTTGCCCTTCGAGTAGCCCTGGTTGTAGTGCTTCCCTTTTCCTTTGTTGTCTTTACCACCTTTAGGAGGATATTGTTGACGCCAAACATCCCCTCCTTTGCCTTTGCCCTTAGGGTTCTTGCCCTTGGAATTCCAAACCTGATCAACATCCATGGGGGCTGAGGTGTCCGTGGCACTCGTTGAGGGACCAGACACCAGCTGCGTTGTCCACTTCTGTGTTGCACGCTCGTACCGCAGAATGACCTCTCTCAACTGATCATACGTAGCGCTTTCACTGCACTTCACGCTCACATGTGCACGTAGTGACGCAGGCAACGAACGTAACAGGATCGCTGCTTTCAACTCCGAATCCACAGTCTTGTTTGAAGCTTGTTCATACTTTCTGCACAACTCCTCAAGCTTCAGAATTTGCTCACGGTAGTTGGAATTTGTCATCATCGGAAACTGAGAGATTGCGCCGAGGAGCGCCAGGGACCGAGCCTTGGAGCTCGGTGCCAAAGTGCGAACCAAGGTTCTCCAAACCTCGCACCCGTTGTTGTCCGTGATAGCCTTCAACATTTGCACTGGACGCTCTCTCAACAGACTTGCGAGCAAACCGTACAACTGCTTGGACATCTCTACCTCTTCATCCGACATGATAGCATGAACATTTGCAACCTCCAAATTGGCTTCCACTGTCTCAAGCAAATCATGCATGTTTGGACTGATCACTCGTACGTATTGCTTGAATTGCCAACTCCATTCGGAAAACTGTGATAGTTCTTCTTCACGATCTTTGGGTCTGAAGACATCTGGTTTTGCAATCACGCGTGACCACATGCCAGGCTGCCAGACTCATTGGTGTTGCGTCTAGACAAAATGTCCAGCGTCGCAGTCATCTGCCTTGTTTGATCCGCGCTCTGCAAAACCGCACGAGACAACAAGTCCACTACTACCTCCATCTGCGAAGCAGCACCAGCTGTAGGACTTGTAGGACCGGGACCAGCTGTTGGACTTGTAGGACTTGTAGGCTGACAAGGATTGGTAGCTTGAGGTAGTTGGGGTCCATCTGAACCACTCGCCATTGCTACTCTATATCGATGATACCCTCGGCTGTACGAAGCTTGCCCTCGAAGGTTCTTTTCCGGGAACTCCTCTTGGTAGACCGACAGGAACTACTTGTGGTACTCGAAAGTGAAAACCCAAACTCCTCTTGAACCAACTGCTCCAAAGCTTGATTGTGCCAAGTAGTCTCAGCTGCAAGCAGATCGCACTCGGTGTTCACAGGAAGAGGTTTGTGGCCCTCGTCGGGGTGCAAAGTTGCCTCGACCAGGGAAAAGTCAACGCACAACGGCTCTTCAGGATCTCTGTCGCAGATATGAAGATAGAGATATGCCTCTAAATTCCACGGTTTCAACAAGGTAGCTGCACACTGAACCACTTCTTCTGCCGTAGAGCACACACTCACTTTCGCCAATCCGGAAGCTATAGCCCTCGATTGACGCTTTTGCCAAGCCGACTGCGAAAGTCCTTCGGGCTTCTCTGTCTGGTGTGCTCACGAACGAAAACCTGTAGTGCTTCGGCCAGGCTTTCAATCCCCGCTGCAGACGCCGTCTGGTCCAGCAGCCGCAGCGCCGACGAGCACAGTAGGACTATGCTTGGAGGCGCGGAGGGACACACACACTTGGGCACTACTCTACACACGACCCACACACACACACAGCTACCGGCTTTTGCACCTTGGTGGTTCGGGTCCTGACCACCAGCAAGAGCAGAGTCCAGACCCAAAGGAATGAACCGGTCTGCTCCGCTACCATGCAAAAACACACGATTCTTTCACTTCAAGCACAAAAGCCTTCAGGTCTCACACAACTGTCAATCAGGAAAACTGAGGCGCCGAAGGAAATTTAATGCTTTGCAGTTTCGGGGTCACCCTCTTCATCCTCTGGTTCAGGATCTTCAGGCGCTGGTTCAGGTGCATCAGGACCAAGATCTACCGCATCATGAGGTTCAGGCTCAGCGACGGCTTGCTGATCTTCCTCAATCAACGGATCTTCGTTTGCGGCCGTCTCAGCTTGTTCAAGTGAACGGTTGATCACGTCGCTGGGGACCTCCCGTGGAGTCTCCTCCTGGCGCACTGCGCGATGGAACCTTCCAACTGAGAACAAATCTGTGAAGCACGTTGCACATCTTGACAGGCACGACGGTGTTTGCTGTAGGCACCAAGGGCAAAGTCGATAGCGAAGGTCATGATCTCGACGACTTCGGGCTTGCTCCATTGGTGGTGTATGTTTGATAACGAAGTTGACGGCGTCCTCGTAGAGCCTGTTGTAGCGTTGCCAATCAACGGTACTCCAGTCGACGCCAGCGTAATCTCCGAGTCTCGCCACGAACTGTTCCTTGGCTGCGTCGTGTGGACCATTCGGCATTTCGCACAGCAGTTCCATAAGTCTCTCGGTCGTCCTGTTTCGAGTAAACTCCTTCGCAATTGGTGACGTGCTGTACTTGGTACCAATTTCGTCTTCCAACTCATAGTCCAAGAGCTTCTCCACAAGATCATATCCGCGATGACGTCGATCGTCGGGTATGCAAAGCCATACTTCTTTGACGGATCGGAAAGGAATCGGGTTGCTGCAGACGATGATGCCGCTTTCGGTGGTCCTTCCTCCAGCTCTGACGAGGTCGATGATCGGAACGTAGAGTACGATTAGAGGCAGCGATGTGTTGACGCTTGACCTCACCCTTGTAACCTCGTTCCTGGTATCGAATGGTGCAAATACCCCCCAGTGACTGTGGAGTCTTCCCGATGCACGGCGGTCCTCCATGAGATCCCGGCCGGCTTTGACACCTCCTTCCATGATCTCCTTGAGGTTGTAGCACTCGGTTGCATGGAATGCACCTTGAATGGCATTCGCGAGGGTATTGCTGATAGACATTGCGAACTTGGACGGATCAATCTCCATGCCGGTGACCTCCGGTGTCACGGTGTGTCCACTTGTGGCTCGGATTGCCCAAGGCATAGCCCAGCCGTCGCACAAATGTATCTCCTCGTCGGTCAAGCGCCTGGTGTGATCAGATAGCTGAAGTTCATGCCGTTGCATAGCCAATGTGACCATTCGGCTGTCAAAAGCTCGCATGTCCTCGACAATGGGTACATGTTGCGGTGGGTCACCCAAGCGTATCCCCAAGAACTGTAGACGTACCCGCCTTGTTCGTACGGCGATTGAGTTGACACCATCGAACAACATTTGTAACCGGTAGCAAAGCTCTCGTTTTCTGTCGTCCCTTGAGCGGCATTGACTCAGCGGTCTGCAGTTCAGCTCCCTTCTTGGATTGCACCATAGCGGATCTTGATGAAGGATGAAGTCCAATCTGACCCACGCACCTTCATCACAGGGGATGATCGGTATGTCATTCTGCCCGACCCTAAACCCGGCATTCCGTCCGACATAGTGCCTCAAATCCTTTTGGATATTCCTCACTGCTTTCTCGCCATACCACTTGCGATCACCACTCAGGTCGAACACAGTGGGACAAGGGTAAACGTTCCTCCAGTCAGGATGACAGAAATGGCAGCCCCGGTCTGGGATCTGGTCAAGTATTCCGCAATGAACTTCATCGGCAACGCAAACGTAGGACGGGTTTGTACACCCTTTCCAATGCTCACTCTCGTCCACGTAGGGGTACCGGGTACAGCCGACGGTCTCCTCGTGGTGGCGTTTTCCTGTCGCGGTGAGAGGTGCATCGTTCAATCCTCTCACATACTTCATGGTTGTTTCGCAGTCCCATGGAGAAGATGGATTCTCCGCACGCATCATATTCTCCTCTGCGTCGATTGATGGCGTACCCGAGCACCTGAGGTGAATCGTACTCCACAATGCGTATGCCGGTGTGTGCTCCATGAGCGCCACGCCTGGGCATAGCTTTCGCCTTTGGACGTCTCGAGGAGGAAGAAGCAATGCTTTCAACGTCAACGTCCATAGTTGCTGCCGATGCTTGTCCTTCACGATCAGTTCTCCCTTCCGTGGTCTCCTGTAAGGATAGCACCCGGGGAAATGATGTGATAGCTTTGGACATGGCCTCGAACGCTTGGAACATAACCCGCCCCATCTCAGAGTTGCTGTCACAGTTACGGAATCCATGATCTGGGCTTCCGCATAGTACACATAGGTTCTGAGGGTTGTCGGTGTTCACTTCGAATGATCCATTCATGAGGACCCTTGTCGCGTCCCAGGCTCTTGCCCTTGCTATTCTCAAAGCATCGTCTTTGACGTTGTCTGCATCACCTTCTGGTTCTTCATGATCCATGCGAACATCTTCCTGAGGTAGTGTAGCTGCATCTACACCTTGCGCGAAGTCATAGTGAACCTCATCCACATGCTCTTGCTCCCCGTCCATACCGACCCTCCCAAGGAGACGCCGGTCAATGGCACAGTGGTTCGTCGCGAATGATTGCAATGATCTCTTCGACATCTTTCTCCACCCTTTCATCCCTGGTCGGAGGCTCCCTTTTCTTGGGTTGTCTTGCTGCCACCAACTTGATGCTCTCTTTGGCCGAATACAAGTGAAAACACCTTTCGATGCCACAGATGCACGCGTCGATGTCCTGTGGACTTCCCCAAGCCTTGAACAACAAAGGGTATCGTGAGCCGAAGGTCAGTAATCCCAAGGCCAATTCGAACACATCGCCCAGAAGTTCCTCCGCAGGGTTTTCGCTTCCTCTGAACAAGTGTTCTCGTTCTTGTGGAGTCAACAATGTCTTCATGAAACCGGCATACGCGGCGTTCCCTGCATCGTAGTACGCGATGAAGCAAAGATTGTTCTGCGCATCGTATGCTCTGTCCCACGCCAATTGCCTTGCTTTTCCCCACGACGCGTATGCCACGCTTGTTGCAATGGGGCATCGAAGGCCGCCGTACGAAAACACCACCTTTCCCACGGACATGTAGACGAGAGGGCAGCATTTCTTGATATACTCAAGCAAATCATCACCCGGTTTCGCCTCCTGAAATTTCTGAACGTAGAGGTACCTTGCACACGCCAGGGCATACGTTTCGCTGTCACGCATTTCCCTGTAATCTTTGATCTTGTAGAACGAATTGTTGAGGGAACTCTTGTACGCGCAACCCGTGCACCGATCTGGAAACTGCGGTCCTGATGCAAACGAAGTAGAATCCCGGCAAAAGACACTGGCACTCTTTTCTTGTTCGCACCTTTCGCAAAAGAATGTCTCCGTCGTTGTCCATGCGGTGATGTCCGACGTGCTGTAGTCATCGATCCTGAACCACCTCTGCTCATCCGAGTACGATGGCTCCGGAATGCTCAGAGCAATGTCGAAGTTTTGCCACTCCACATCAGGACGTCTGACCAAGTCAACACGCCTGTTCTCCTCTTCGATGGCACGACGTTTATGAAGTGGAATCCAAGCGTTCAGATTCACCGAGGAGGAGACATGCACCTGTGTATTGTCAGTGCATATTTCTGTGAACGCATCTTTTCGAGACTGTCAATTAGGTTGCTGAAGACCTTCTGCGTCTCGGAGAAGTTGACCACGGTGCTGATCGTCGGCGAAAACCTGACAAACTGACCCCACCCTTTGCTCATCATCTCGTTCTGAAGTGGGAAATGTGTTGCTCCGCTCTTGGGGTACAACTCAAAATCGGTACACAAGATGGTAGGTTGTGACCGTATCGTTGTGGCACCGGGACTCCCACCAACGGAAAGCTTCGATCGCATTTCCTTTGCTGCTTCAATAGCTTGTTGTCGATGACGGGCGACTTCCGCTTCATGTCTTTCTCTATCAGATGGCATGATGATCTCCCTTTCCGCATCAGGATCTATGAGGTCCTCCTCAGTGTTGACGAGAGCCGCGACCGTGAGCATTGCTGGCGTAGGTAGGTTCTCACATGGATGCAAGTCACAACCATGATAACAGTCTGTAGTTCCGAGCTCCACGTAAACCTTGAGCGCCAAGCCGTAGTCGGTGTTCTGTGTGACAGATTGAATCCTTGCCAGATAGGTCACCAGACGTCTGACGTAATGCTCGATCGGGGTTGTTCCGAATTCCTCATTTTGAATATACTTCGGTGTCTCATCATATGCTGCCGGAAACACCTCCGGTTGTGCCACTGAGCAGTACAACTTGGCCCTGCAAATGGCTGTATTCTCCTTCGAAAAGCAGAAGATGTACTCAGTGGTGCCCTCGGGATAGGAGACTTCTGCCCATTGAACCAGGGATTCTTCTGCCTGAGGCGGTTGCTGTGACGATGAGGAAGAAGTCTGCTGGCTGCCCCAAGGGCGCGCCGAGCTAGGCTGACTCCCTTGCTGCCCAGTTTCGTTGGGCGCGTCTCCCGTCCTTGCCCTCTTCGGTCCATACGCTGGAGGATGAAGGTGCCGACGCAGCAGCTGCGTCTCCCCAAGGTACGTCCCCCCATGGATCATCATGCGAAGGATGCTGAGGACCTTGCGGGATGTTCTGAGTGCGTGGTCGGGCTTCTCGGATGATTCGTCCAGTGGCATATACCCATTCCGGATGACGTGAGGGGTTCGGTGGAAAATTTCTGTCGCCACTTCGCAATGCAACCGGTCTCTCCGCACGGTTCAACTCGTCTTCCCAAACCTCGAAGGCTTTCCTCTTCATGACACAATCCTTTGTGAGTGCTGCCTCGACAGACAACTGATTCCACGACCACATCAAGCAAGCTTCTGGAAACTGCATCCCTCCTTGACTCTGAGGTGTCGACGCCAATTGTAGCGCCTTGGCATAGTCATGCGCCGTTCCCTGGGCATCGTTATACACTTGGGTCGTCCAAATGTACTTCTGGTGATCCTCCACCTCGTTGTTGTACTTAATGTACGCGTTGATCAGGTGGGTTGCCGCAATGTAGGCCTGCATGCTGCACACTGCGAACGCCAGAGGTTCTTCGGTATTCGGCGGTAACGCCTTTCCCGCTAGAAGTACGATGTCAAAGGTGGTAAGGTATGGTGGTCGTTGCTCGCCCGGTGTTGTTGCCCTGGCATCAATGTCCTGGTTGTGAGTCCTGATGCCATAGCCAACGTTCGTTGCGAACTTGACCGTCATCTTGGCGACGTTGACAATCTCCAGCTCGCTCATCATTTGGTGCCGAACGGGGAACTTCCAGTAATAATCCTGAAAGATAGAGTAAAACTTGTCATCCCTGACGTCATACATGAACCTCGTAACCTCCTCGATGTTGTTCACAACATACGTTTCATTGAAGAAGTTGGGACTTGTGACAGTTTCAATCGCCGTGGTTTCCAAATTGAATCGGTCGCCGGTCATGTCCTCACTGATCTTGTTGGATGCGAAGTCCAAGCCATCTCTTATGGCGCCGGGGTCAGCAAAGAGCTCTGCAGTGAATTTGAAGCGGACAGCGATGTCGGCAACAGTTTGACGGCATGTAGACGCCACCCTCTTGAGTTCCGACAGCACATCCTTGTACGCTTTCTGCTTGAACTCCTCAGTTGCTGATTCAACCCATGCCTTGATCATCTCGCGAAACCTGTGATCAGAGTTGCCGTTGACGGGTTGTGCAGCGCTAATGAATGCAATGAACAACGGTGGTGCCTGGTACTTGATCCATTGGTGAATCAGGTCGTTGCTAACCACTTTGCCCGCCACGATCTTCGTCGGCAATTCTCTGTTCCCAGCGTTCAGACTGAATACTTGAAGAAACTTCTCGAACACGTTCAGCTGCGGAGCCATGTTCTCGGGTGCCACATCTATAAATTGAAAAGGAACATCTTCCCCCGCGCTTGCCATGGCTTCGGGTTAGGATGGTATCTCAATGGATGCCCAATCCTACCCTACGGTTTCCCGGTTCCACCGTATCCCAAGGATGCCGGCTTCCCCGTTCCACCGATCCTCAGACCTTAGTTGTTGGCGGGGCGAGACCTGGAAATACAGGCCTCAGTGCATGCGCTGTCACTCCTACCATTGCGTGAACCATGCGTAACCTTAGCACTCTCATGATGTCCTGACTCAACACTGCGACACAACATGCTGCGCACATTCGAAGCAATCACTGACCATGCTCTGCACATGCAATCATGCAAACTGCATCCACTCATGCTGTCGGCGTTTTGGGGAACATACTCTCTAACGCACTCAGAATCAAAGAAATTGGAAATCACACAACAACGTCCAGTCAATCTTCCTGTAGCATCAACGTACTCGGCAGCCTTGACCCTGTGAACCTTTGACCCTAAAAGAGCGTGCAGTTCAGGCCATGACCAACATGAACACGTCGACGGCATGTCAAGAGAAAAATAGACATGTGGCGATTCCGCAAACTTCTTGAGTCGGCGTTTCAGAGACTTCAGGACCCTCCGGTAAGCCTTGTACCCCCCAGGTGACCCAGCCCCACGTGCGTCGGTACTGCCCTTAGGGACAGAACCATCGCCTGATCGCCTAAGCGATACTGTGAACAGCACAGGCGATTGCACCTTGTTGCCGCGCAATTTGTTGATTTTCTCCACCAGTTCATCTTCCTGAGTAGCAGACTTGATGGGCCCGTCGAGCGCGATGTGCACGTGGCGATCCAACCCTTTGGAGGTGGCATTATTATTGAGCCGGAACTCGACGACTACGCCGCCAGGTTTCTTAGGCCCTTTTGCCGGCATCGACACGAGCTTGCCATCACCTGCCTCAAAGGCAATAGGGACTTGAGCAATCTCTTTGATACCTGGCTCGTTCTCACCTCTCTGTTACTCACATCATCAAAGTCATGCTCTTCGGCATGCTTATGTTTTGACTTGCAGCGATCTGAAGGTTTCGACTCCAGTGAAGTGTTGGCAGTGAAGAACTCCCATTCCTTGTTGCAACACATTACGCATGGCTGTCCTTGATGGTCATTGCCCATCAATCTCCGGCCGTGAGAACACCCGTCCAAGACAACGTGTCTCCATGCCTCGCCCTTGGATAACGATGCGTACTGCTTGGATTCGGCAATCTGAGCTTCGGGCGGAACCTCAACGACTACCTGAGTTCCTGACTTCGCTGCAGTAAGGGCAATTCTTTGGACGACCTCCCCCCATGGGTAATTCGTACCCTTGGAGAGATTTTCGAAGATCCCGAGGTCATAGTTGTTGTACTTGGTGAAGCCCCGGTCTATCCATGACGCTCCGCCTAGGATTCCCGCTCCGACGAAAACCGCCGAATTCTTGGATCCCACAAGACGTTGTTGGAGCACGTCATAGAGGTATCCGCACATAGCGTCGTCCGGTTGCCTGCCCGCACACAGTATGTTGAGCTGCTTTTGGGGATCGTAATGCTGGTCCAGGTCGTG